CTAAAACTCTCAATTAAACAATCTGCTACTGTTTCAGCTTCCATATTTGGAATTGGTAAAGCTTCTGGATATCTAGTGGCATAATCACACAACACCAATATATATTTATTACCTTTTTTACTTCTTGGTAAAGGCCCTACCAGATCTATTGCTACCTTCCGAAATGGTACATCCACAATTGGCATTGATATCATCGGGACTTTTTCATGAGCATATCTCTTAGCAGATTTTTGGCATTCAGTACACGTTCTGCAATAATGTGCCACATCTGAAAATATCCCTGGCCAATAAAAATGCTGCAGTAACCTTTGTTTTGTCTTCTCTATTCCTAAATGACCAGCTAAAGGAATATCGTGAGCAATCCTTAACAACTCACCTCTACACTTTAACGGGACCACTAACTGAGTCACCTCAGCTGCTTCAGCTGAGTTCATGGGCCTCCATTGACGAAATAATAGACCATCCTTCCAGAAAAAACAAACTTTATTTGCTATCATATTTTCTGGCACTACTACTTCACGGACCTTTGTCAATGTTACATCTGATTGCTGTAACTTTATCAACTCCTCTCGTCTCAATTTGAATACATCAAATACTTCATTATCACTTACTTGTAACTGAATCTCATCATTATGATCCTCAACTTTATCTAACTCACCTTGATCATCTATGCTGTCATTAGTATCACCAACAGATATCAATTAACCATAGTTAAGATGCAAATCATGTACCTTGTTTAGGCTCCAATTATCTCAACAATTAATGTCAAATGAATATTATTATTGTTTATTTTTCTGAGCACAGAATAAATAATTCTAGTAAAAAATGAGAATGACGAAACCCCTCAGATGTTTTTCTATTAATTTAACTGAGCAGTATTCATTTCACACAAAGTGATATCTTTAATCCCAGTTGTTATCTTTTGACCCTGTTTTATCTTAGATATCAAAACAAATATCAATATTGCTTCTCCCAATACTACACATTATCTCAAGTGTATCAGCTACAAATACCTCTGATAACCCTATCAAAACAACTGTAATCTTGACAGTAATGAAAACCTTTACGTTTTCAGTAATATCCTCAAATCGTTGATCAAAAAATTGTGACTACATACTTGATATTGAGCAAATATGCAAGTTTTATTAATTAAAGCATATGTTTGTTTTTATTTACAGATTTGTCAAAGAAATGAGCTTAACCAACAAAGAATTCAGTTTATTCTAAAGAAGAAGAAAACTTCTTAATCATCAGTCAAATAGTATTGTGTGTACCACCAAGGAAAGAGTTATGCTAGTGTGCTATGCAAATTACAAATTTCTTTCAGAATCAGTATTGTGGTGTGTTTTGTTCTATTGTAGTGTTTGAATAATATCATACTGTAGTTGTCCTAGTATAAGTAGGGGAGGGGGCACTCATTAATGCACATCGTTCCTCAATTTCACTCATATCTAAATTAATACAGCTTATTTTATGTGCCTTGGGGGGAGGGTACTAGGGTAAGTGATCCTAGACTGTAACTTTATTTGGGTTTTCTCACGTTTTCAAGAAAGTAGTTATATGACAATGCACTGAGAAAGAAGATGTGGCAATTATTTCTATAAATGTATTTTGTCAATAATCAAATTAAAAATAAAAGAATGTTTGAGATAGTTGTGTGAGGGCGTTGTTCCTCTGTTTTACAAAATCAGAATTGTTTAGATTCCCTTCAAAACATAAACAAGTATAAAATGATTCCTACGATGGGTAAAATTACATAGAATGCCTAAATAAACTTAAAAACAAACACATTTTCAAGATGATTGTATGAGGGCACTGTTGCCCATGTTTTATAAAAAAAAGCTTTGCCAGTAATTAAAACTTTTAGGTAGAGCCACTGTGGGAGACTTTTGATCACTAGTATTATTGCATTTTGTTCGGTTTATAGCTTTATGTGGTTGTACCGGGTAATTTGAAAAATGGTGTAATTCACTTAATTTCATGAAAGTAATTTTTTGTAAGTAGGGTTTGTCCATCCAGTCACTGATTAATATATACAGATCCTATATTTATAACCCTAGTTGTATAGACTGACAATATAGTAGATTTTTACAATGGGCTGTCCACATTTTCTCTTAATGCTGGGCCGAACGAAAATTAAGCGGTTTACACTAATTGACAAAAATGTTTCACAACATGAGTGGAGTGGAGGTAACCTTATCATTTGCTTCTTGATTGCTAGATTTGTTGGAATGATATCAGCGTCAATTTGGTGGGTTTTGTGACTGATGTTGAAATTATAAAGAAAATCATTATGTTCCAAGCAATTGGTTTGATGCTTATGGTGGACATGTACTAGAATCATGCTGTGAATAAATCATTTATACACATCGAGGCACAAAACAAATTAGTGAAAAATTATGTATCAGCAAATTAATTATGACTGACAATGGTCATAGTCAAAAGAATTTGTTAATTTACATGATCAAAATGGTTGGATATATTTTTGGCAATCTTTAGTTTTCACCACCAATTATGCTATTTCCACATAATCTATTTTGTTAGCACTGATGCACAGGAATTATTACCGGGTATATATCAATATACCAAAATTTGGTACACACATTTTTTCATCCAACAGACAGTACTTACTGTTGCATACATGGTTATATCAAAAGTTTAAAGACATTGGTCAGATCATGGAAGAGTACGGTACCTTCTATGGTCAGATTTAGTGACTATGAAAAGGGATAAGTGTTTACTGTTTTTATTTACACAGAAAAATAAATAAAATACACTGCTTTGTACTCTTATCAGTATTAGCATAGCACATGGAAAACTCAATAAACAAGAGTTATGTAATGTACATGCGACAGTTATTATTCATATATGAACAAAGTTTGCATTTATCTTTTTATATATCTGAATAAAATGTGTACAAATCTCATATGATAACAATTATAATAGTCTCTTAATTCACACCCACACACATGTACCAATCATAGTACAACACACAGAACTGCAATACATTGATATGGACAAAAAATCAATCTCTTGTTTT